TTCCTTTATTTTATTGTGTCAAACATAGTATATAAAGGCCCTCCAAATTTGTTGTGAAATAAGGTACAAATATAAATGGAGAAAGAAAAAAAATAAATCTTTTCCCAGCCATTTCTGGGTATGGGAATATTTTGCCACTTTCAGAGGTATATTTGATAAGTCATCGTCTGTGGGGATGGGGAAAGATTTCTGCAGCACTCCGGGGACAACCATGCCTGTCAGAAACTGGGGATCTCCACCATGTGAGACCTGGCTGTGGACATGCCCAAAACATGATCCAGTATCTGCAATCTGCTAACAGCCATTTTTATACACATAATTTTTTCACAAGCTCTTTCTACCTTCACCCCGGCAACAAAACCTCAGAAGCACTCATGTGGGGTGGGTGGGGGGAACTCAGGTCTTGGGTGCCCACAGATGAAGAAGAGTCAGTGATTCTTGCCCTCAGGGTGGAGGCGAAGCAAATGTGCATCCTTCCCTTCTCATATTCTCTATGTGGCCAAACTCCTCAATGTAAGTCACTCACGTGGCCACCAGCAGTGTCTTAGTGTCACTGTGAGATGGGGACAGTGCTGATATGTGAGTGGGAGAACCCTCATTTTCTTGGGCCCCAGAATCCCAGAGTCACCCTCCCCCACCCCCATGGGACTGTGTGCAGCCTCAGAGTCATTATCGATACAATGTACAGCTGTGACTAGAGCTAGCTGGAGAGAACAAAGCTGTTTGTCATCCTCGGCTACAGTGTGCCCAAGCTAGTGGTGCGGTCTCTAAGTGCCAGGGACAGTGGGTGGGCCTCTGCAGAGGGGCGCCAGGTCATTCTCCTCCATGAGAACGGAGTCTGGCTTTTCTCTGTCTTTATTGGCTTGGCTTACTTTTTTGGATGGGAGCCTGGACAATCTTTTCAAGCCTCCTGCTCAGGAGTTAGTGTCAGGGACATTACGGGAGGTGCTGGTTGATGTGTGGCCTGTACTGAGCTTAGAAATGAGTTCTGTCAGCTTTCAGCTGTGTTCATTTATGTCCAAACATTAGCTTAGTGACTGGGGGTGATTGAGGAGTCATCACCTAGGGAAGGCAGGGTGGGAGGGGGTGCTCAAGGAGCACCTCACCAGACCAGGGTCAGAGCCTGCAGACTCTCCCTCACCCCACCACGGAGCAGGAGGGAGACATGGGGCACAGTGAGAATGGCCTTGGCGTCACAGATGAGGGCAAGATCCACAAGTTGCACACATTCTGATGGTTCATGGCTCAAGTGAAAACGGAACCAGAAAGTGCCTGGAGGGATAGGGCAGAATGAGAGCTTTCCCGCCTTTGCCCAGCAGAGGGTGTAGCCAAGACCTTCATACCTGGGAGGAAATCGGGACCAAACAGGACTTCCGGTAGCGGGTGCTCAGAGTGCCTCCAAACTCAGCGGAAAGTCTCCACGGGATGGTCCTTTCTCTTAAAGCCACGGAGAGGAATGAGCCCCTAGGTTTAAGCTGACACATCTGATACAGGGAGGTGGCCCACCTTGATGGATACTTGGGTTGATTCAGTTATAAAGCACCAAAAAAAAAAAAAAGAAAGAAAGGCAGCTCAGCTCCACGTAAATATACAGAGATTTGCACGCGGCTGAGATAGAAGCACAATTACACAGGTGCGAGACACTCCCCTTGGGCACTGCTCCTAGAAACACACTTGACAGAGTCTTCATGTCAAAATCTAAAGCATGGGGCCTCCCCACCGAGGACTGACACTGATACAGTGTCAGTTCTCAGGAATTTTACTTCATAACAGCAGCGGCAAGGGGGGATGTTAGTGGTCACAGTTTGGTGAAGTGACTCTTTGGTGAAGTCCATCTGGACTTCCATACAACTGAGTTACAAAAGGCTTCCAACCCCTAACTGGACATTAAGTAGATTTGCTACTTAATTTCAAGCCTCCTGCTCAGAAGTTAGTGTCAGGGACCTTACGGGAGGTGCTGGTTGATGTGTGGCCTGTATGGAGCTTAGAAATGGGTTCTGTTGGCTTTCAGCTGTGTTCAGTCATGTCCAAACATTAGCTTAGTGACTGGGAGTGATTGAGGAGTCATCGCCTGGGTTTAACAGGGTGGGAGGGAGTGCTCAAGTATTTAAACTCAGAGACCGAAAAAAATGCACCTACATTAACGACACTGCATGCAGCCTGGCCAAAACACACAAAACTAGTTTATGACATCAGCAAATTCGAGAGATGTACGCAGATAACCAGGGAAAGAAGCTGACTCAAGGCCAAGCAAAGAATTTGCAGTGGCACCATACAGAGCACATTGTGAAAGGAACGCTGCTCTCTGCAATGCTGCTGGCAGGCCGGCCCAGAGTCCCAAGGGGAATTTGCTTTTTGGACCTTGGCATATAGCTGTCCTTGGGGTGCCCTTACGTGTCAGATCAAACCCATCTGATTTGGGGTTGAGAGAGAATGCTCCATAACTTTCCCAAAAGGCAACGGGAGTCATCGAATAAGAGCAACTCCCCTTTTCATAAGAAAAGCCATCAAAGCAAGTAAAGCTAAGATATGCCTTGTTTGAAACTCCAAGGTTTCTCTAACTTCAAGGTGCCCGTGGCTGAATGACAACACAGCAGTAGCAAAAGTAACAACAACAAAACATGTTCTTGTACTAGTCGTTGGAATTACACTGATTTGAAGGGGTCCCTCATTCTTTGCCTCCATTATCTCACCCCCTCAAAAAAAAAATCCCTTTGAAAACTTATGAGTACAAGATTCCCACTTTGGAAGAGTGAAAGTGCTTTTCCCAGGCCCAGGCAGGCAAGAGTTTCTTTAGTCTGCGGGAATACTCAGTGCATTTGGCGGTTTCTTAAATCATTGCAGGAAAGGTTTTGTTGTCTTGCCTGCAGCAGTGTGTGTGCGCACGTGTGTGAGTGAATGCACACAAGTGTGTGCGCATGTGTGCTGGAGGGGTGGTGCTCAGGCTATCGACAGCAGACCTCCACCAGGACCACGTATAGACACACCCGCTGCACAGGACAAGTAAGACTAGCACGATGTGGCCGACGTGAAGACCCCCCACCACAAAGAGGTACAGGGTTTTGTCACAGTAACCTGAGGCTGCTGGAGAGGAGCAACAAAATCAGGCAGGTAAACAGAAAAGACCAAGTAATTCCCCAGGACGAACCAGAGGTAGAGGTCAAGGCCTAGGCTGAGGTGGGTGTAATATTTGTGCATGTTCTGCCTCCAAGGATTTTCATTGTGGTCATTGTCGTCACCATCGTCATCACTGTGGCCTTGGACAGGAGCTGCAGCATCCTGCCAGAGTCATACAGTAGGGGAGATGCCTGGGTTGTGGCAGGGAGCCAGGGGGCAGAGGGCAGAAAAGCAAAGTAGGGGGAGGAGAGGGGAGAGAAGTTACGGGAAGGGGAGAGAGGGGGAGGGAGGGAGAAGTGCACACGCTGGAGCTGGAAATGCTGCCAAGGAGTGAAATTTAATTTTGAAGAATCAAAACTGGCAAGAATGAGGGCATCAATCTTCAGTTGGCGTCCTAGGTAGCATTTTCCTTTTAGATGTGTAAGTTTCCTTGGACAAGGGGTTAATTGACTGAAATTTATCTCTGCATCCAGACTTTCACTGTCGCTCTGGTTCACTTCATTGGCCTTGGGGCCAGTTCCTCAGCCTCCCTGGCTCCAGGGACCTGTCCCTCCCCCTCCTCCTCCGTGACCACACCTTGGGGCTGGTCATCAGCGGGAAGGGCCCTCCTCCTCGTCTTCATTAAACATAGCTGTTTAAGCCTCCCAGTCTGTGGCATCTCCTTATGGCAGCCTGAGCTGATTTACAGGGATACTCAGTGCCTTTAGGCGTGTTGTCTTATTTTAAAACAATCCTGTTGACTGCACATTACTTTCCTCGCTTTACAAACAATGGCATTGAGGACCAGAGAGATTAAGGAGCTTGGCAGAAGTCGCAGGTGTGAAAAGTGAAAGAGCCAAAGGATAAGGCCAGGCGTGTCTTCAGCCAAAGCAGCCATCCCTCCCAGCAAGCCATGCGATGTCTCCGCCCCTCACCAGCTTTCCCTCATGATGACCCTCAAACACGGCCTAGGCCCTGTCCTCAGTCACCTCGTTCTCACCGCGTGATCCCAAAGGTACCCTGCCCACCTACAGGCTGATGACACCCAAGTCTGCAGCTCCCTTCCAGAACTTTCCCTCCAACCTTCAGACTCGTGCGAATTCAACTGCACAGCTCCACGGAATATCTTCAGGTCTCAGGTTCAGTGTGTTGGAAACCTAACTCATCATCTTCCATATTCCTCTCACTTGGCGACGTTGTCCAAGCCAGAAATCTGGAGTGTTCCCTGTTCCTCAGCCCATATAACAATCATTGTCCACCCTGCTGGTTGTACCTCTGGTACTTCCCTCCCACTGGCATGGAAGAGCAGGAGCCCCTGTGTGAGGTTCACCACTGGCACCCGGTCCGGCACGGGCGTGAGCTGTGGCCCCTTAGAGGAGCCCTTACGAGAGGCAGAGCTGCTTCCCATCTTCCTGCAGGTACTGTGGGCTCTTTCTCTCTGAGGCCCTTGCTCATGCTATCCTCTCTGCCTGGAACCCTTCTGCTCCCCAACCTGACTCTTTCATAAGAGGTCATCTGCTCCAGGAAGGATTCAAAGACTTCTCTGAGCTGGGTTAGGAATCTCTCTTCCAGGTTTCCATAGTCTTCTGTGTGTATCTCTACAATTTCCTTACTGCGCTCTATAGTAATTATGTGTTTATAAACCTCTTGCTAAATAGATGGGGACTCCATGAATATAAGGACTAAAAATTGACCTTTGGACCTGGAGACTTTGATTCCTCCAAAGACGGCTTCCTGGAAGAGGAGGTATGCTCAGGAGCCTGTGAGCAGGGAGAGGTGGGAGGGACCTCCTTGGAGTGGGAGTGGTGTAGCAAAGGCAAAGGTTTGGGGAACAGTAGAACATCAGTTTGACTGGGGCAGAGCAGCCAAGGGGGACTGTGAGGTCGATAGGTATGGGTTGAACACCAACTTCATGTAAACTCGAGAAGAGCAGCCTCTAAGCTTCAGTTTCCTCATCAATGAGCTGGAGCTGGCAGTACAGTCCAGGCTTCAGTTTCTCAGCACCCAGTTCCCTTCCTGGCAGGGCCCCGTTCCTTCGGGGCTGTCCCCCACCCCTCACGTGTGTGCAGGAGGGTAAACCCTGGTGTCTGCTCCCCCAAGAGGTGCCTTCCTCATGCTCCAGGCACCCCAGGGGGCAGCAGGGCCTCCAAGATCCGTGGATCTGGCTACTCTCCCAGAACTGGTTCTGGGGCAGAGTGACACCAGGAGAGAGAAACGGGCTGGGGTTTATTCATTTCACTGCTGGCCCAGGTAGAGCCCATCACTCAGGCTTTCTGGAGCCACCTGGTTCCTTTCTCTTTCACCCGCCTTTGAAGTGTGAGCTTTTCCAAGAAATTACCTCTAACATTAGCCAGAGTTGATTTTTTTTTCTTCCTTCTTGATACAAGTACCTGCCTCAAAGGGGTGTGGTGAAGACTGGATGTATTCAAAATGAGGGCAAAGGCCTCAGCGCAGCGCCCACACATAGTCGGCTCTCTCACTGGGTGGTAGCGATTACTACTAAGAAGAGGGACATTGGAAGGTGCGTTGGAGTGTTAGGTAGATAAATGGCCACTAAATCAATGTTCTTGAAACTTTTAACACTGTGCTCAGTCACAAATACATTTTACCTCCTGACCTAGTAATAAGTGACTGCATGTTCTCGTTGGCTCAGAGAAGTCCTGGTTTATGCTGTTTTCCTGGCATGATTATTATTAGAGCCCCCTTATACTCTCGCAAGTGTCCCAGTTTGGATGATAAATTATATGATTGGCTTACCCAAACATGTCTATCGCACAATACTTAACTTACCCAGGAGGCACTATAATATTTTGTATTCTATTATTTTTTTAAATGGCTAAAACCTACTAAAATTATTGCACGGTCTTCTAATGGGTCAGGACCTTCGGTTCTTTTTAGTAATTCTTGGAAATGTCAACTCGCTTCTGCTCAGCTTTCTCTTTAACAAAATGCAATACTGTTGTGCTACCTGATGCATTTCAGAAGGGATGCTGGGCATCGCTGTGTGGTGTTCTCGGGGGCCTAAATACAAATCATTGGCTTCACTAGAAAACTCCTGTCTGGGGATTTCATAAACCTGTTTGCTGTTGCTCTAATGGTTATAGACTCACTGTGTATTACCTTGCTATGATGAGCACAAAAATTTAATTTGGCTTCAAACAGTTTTTAGATTGCCAGGAAAAAAAAAATCAACGATGTTTATTAGGGCCCTAGTTTGTTCATTAAAATAAATGACCTTTGTGTTCTGGGCTGGTTTTCATAAAGGAAAAGTTTGCTGTTATTAAGAGGAACAGACCCCGTGGACAGTAACGTCCCTAAAGGAAAATTCTGCTTTGCATCCTGAGGCGGCAAAGTGGGAGAGAGTAGCACCGACCAAGGTTATTACCGCCGAAAACTTTCCTTTGTTTTTAGCATCTCTATGGTGCTGAGTCTATCAGAGCCTTCCCCTAACCCTGTGGGACCACAGGAGAGCTGCGGCCCCACTGAGCTGAGTGCCCTTGGGTTTCCTTGGAGCTAACCAGAGTCTCAGGTGGATCCCACAGGGATGTTGTTATAGGGAGGGTCACATGTATTCGCACATTCCAGAATATCATCCTCCAACTGCTGTGAGGAGGTGAAGGTGTTAATAGTAAGGTAACCTCACACCCAAAGGCTGCAAATGCTTGCCTCAGGTCACGCACATTTCTCAAGACAGAATTGAGCTCGTGGTACTGATTGCATATGAGAACAGCAATCTTGAAGACATTCCTTTGATTTCTCAGGTCAATATCATGACCAATGCCACTGGCCAGCATTCGAAGGCCCCAAGCCAGAAGGAAGCTGGCAAAGAAATCAGACAGTGGGTCCAAATGAAATTTCATCTACAGCACTATTGATTCTGTTTTTTTTCCTGTGTTATTGCTTTGTTTTTTATAAAATCATTTCGGAAAAAGGATGCCTGTGTTTTCTAACTTTTGACATAGATAACTTGTGGGTTGGCTTGGATGGTTGGAAAGGGTCCCTGGTAAGTGGAGTTTGATCTAAAGTACTTTTAGCAGGTATGACATTTCTGTGGGACAGGAATTTGGGTAAATTAACTGCAGGCTATGCAAGACCCTTAATATTTCTTCTTTGGTCACTTTTCTTCTTTAAACAGATGTCAGTTCAACCCATGAGCAAATCAGCTCCCTTTACTGACACAAGCTTGAAAGTCACAAAAAAAAAAAAAAATCACTCCTAGCCCCAAATATCAGAGTTTGACGTTTGATTGATGACGGAAGCCAATTCATTCTATGCTAGTCAATTGAGAAGTAGAAGCTATAGTTAAACATAGAAATAAGAACTGCTAAAATCAAACACATTCTTACCAAATGCAAACTCTGCTGCCTTACACAGGAAACTTTTTTAAAGAAGCAAAGAGAAAGGCTGCGATTACACCGGCTGAATTCAATGGTATAATTGGCGGTGGCAACTCCTCTGCATCAGCTGTTACAGTTAGACCAAAGCCACAGCTTAGCATATTGAATGCAGGGCAGCAGGAAGGAAGCTATTGCAGAGGCACAGCTCTGAGTGAATGCTGCTCATCTGGAAAAACCCACATCTCTGCAGCAGGCCTCAGGATCCACTTCACCCTGTCACTTTGACAACCGTGCACTTAGGGGGAAGTTGTTCAGGCTCCCCTATGAGTAGCAAACAATTAAAGGATGCGTTCCATGGTACCTATAGGTTAAATTTCTACAAGAACTACAAACAACAGATAATTGTGCTTTATTTTTAAGGCCCTGATGATTCCATCTACTAGCAAATACAGAAGAATGAGAGGCCATATGGGGCAGCCCTCTGAAAACTTTATTCCTACAAAAGGGGGAGAATACGATTGAGAGACATGCATTCAAGAGCACGACATCCAGTGAGGAAAACGAGGTAAATGTCTACAAAAGCCAAAATGTTAATCATAGGAACTATCGCTTGAACCCCTGCTTCGGAACTGTGCTCAGTCTCACAGGCCACCTGATCTTCAAGGAACTCAGTGGCCTGAATGCCAATCCATTGGACTTCAGACAGAGCAGGGACCAGACGTTGCCGTACCTTTTGTCTAGGTACTAACTGGTTATGGGTGTGCTCTGCTTTTATGAAAAGCCAGTGTATGACAACTAGTGTTTTCAATGGTTCATTTTATAAAGCATCTCTTTAAATATCCAGGTCCCTTGATGTACTTAAAATAAGATCCAGTGTATGGGTCACATTCTCAAAATGCATCCACTGTGTAAACTGAAGCTTCTAGGACCTAGGTGGCAAGGAGGAGCTGGCAAGCACCATATTATTACCATTGACCAGTTTACTCACCCAGGCCCATTTACTCACATAGCCTTAGCTACTAGATTTGGAAAACTACCAAATCAATGGCCCCAGACCCACACCCTTTCTTAATCGTACTGTTTCTCCCCATAGCAATGCTTTTTCTACTTTTCTCAAGTCTTTGTTTTCTGGGCATATTATTAACTAATAGTGATATGATGTATTATTTAGAATATGAGCAAGAAATGCCTGTTTCCCCTCAATGACAATCTGGCTCCAGTGACCAGGCTTCCGATGGGTTCTAGCACACTTCCTGGCTGTACAGAGACACTGACTGCTCAGCACGTTCCTCTCACATTCCCCAAACTCCTGTGGGTCCCCAGGGCTATGTGACTAGTTTTAACCCATGGGCTGTGGGACATTCAGGGACCAAAACATTTAAAAACTGACACAGATTCCTTTGTTTTTGTCCTCTGCTTTGACCACCTAGAAACCCTGGGGTGAGAAAACAGCTCTTAGTTGAAGTGGGTTGAAGTATCCTGTCATCGTGTTGACCGAGGGGGTCCCCTGGGGCCCTTGAGAGGCTCCTGATTGACACTGGAATCTGCATGAGCAAGAAATGCACCTGTGTGGCATTAAGCCACTGAGATTCCAGAGTTAATTTGTACCGCAGCACAGTTAAGTTTCTCTGACCAATACATTTGTCAACAGAGCCCAAGAAAGGAAGTCTTCTGTTTCAATGACATTTAAAGTCTTAGCTCTCATTTGACATTTTATTTCCCATGAATGTCTTGGTACTTAAGCAGAGGAAGTAAATTATACCATTTTCCTATGACTACACCATATTCCATTGCAATTAATAAAAATTTCTAGGTATACAGAGACCCACCACTTCAGGGCCCAGAACAAGGTGAAGTCAAATATACACGTTGATCCAATCATCAACCCAGAGAGGCTTGCCTTCCTGGATCTCTGATGTTTAGCCGAATCCATTATTAGGTGAAAATACTTTACAAAGCTCAACACCACCTTTTCACACAAAGACCTTTTAAACACTTGATGCCAAATTTGCTGGATATGAACTGCCTTTCAACTCAAAACCCAGCTGTGAAATGAACATTGAGTAATGACTTATATATCTGCTCATTCCTAATGAATAAAAACAGCTGCTGCTCACAGGAGAGTCAATCAGTGCACAGATGGCTTAAAAGGATCCTAATAAATCTAATAAAAGCCTCTTTGCTCTGTGTTCTTCACATCATTGCTTAGGACCTACCTTATCTCTAGATTCTCTTCTTGTTTCATCTGCAGAATCAAAATTACCCGCTTGAGGCTTCAGAACTCTCCCCAACATAGGTAATAACAATTACCAGATGTCACAATATTTTTTAACCAATATTAAGGGGTTTTAAAAATTATTTTTATTTTTCACATTTTTATTGAGATAATATATTGCCATATTAACAATTCAGTGGCACCAATTACATTCCCAATCTCGTGCAACCATCACTGTCTATTTTCAAACATAAACCCTATAACCATTAAACAGTCATTCCCCAATACCTCCTCCCCACAGCCGATGTAGTGATTTTAACATAATGTCCATGGGCATTGGCCTGTGGAGTATTGCTTCATTTATACAGCTTTGTTTGTGAATGAACTGTTCCAGTTAAGTTCATTTTCCGGGTAACTAAACCACAGGTTCCAAACACTTTTTTTTTTTCACTTGGTGAATTTTGCATAGAACATTTTTCTTAAGGGTACTCCTGACTTCTTAAGTAGGGTATACCTTAAGTCTTATATAAGCACTTCTTGATAGATAGAGTTATATAGT